GTAGACCGTTTCACTCGATGGCCAGAAGCAGTACCTATCAAGGACATCACTGCTGAAACAGTGGCCCGCACCTTCGTCGATCGATGGGTAGCAAACTTCGGCTGCCCATCAACCATCACTACAGACTGCGGACGTCAGTTTGAATCTGATTTTTTCCGTCGTCTGACCACACTTTTAGGAATCACTCGATTCCGAACTACCGCCTACCATCCACAAGCAAACGGGTTGGTAGAACGTTTTCACCGACAACTAAAAGCTTCACTTTCAGCTGCAAACGTTTCACAATTGACCGATGCTCTTCCACTCGTCTTACTAGGTATCCGCAATGCAGTGAAAGCTGACATTGGATACACTGCGTCTCAACTCGTTTATGGAACGACACTTCGACTTCCAGGAGAATTCGTGGATCCTTCATCCTCTTCAATGAATATGGATCTAACCTCCTACACGAACAGGCTTACAAACGCAATGCGTTCAGTTAAACCTGCTTCCACTCGACCACAATCAACTGATGTTTTCGTTCAACCTAACTTACGATATAGTACACACGTTTTCGTTCGTCGAAACTCGCATTGACGACCATTCGAATCAGCATACGAAGGACCCTTCAAAGTTCTTCAACGTGAATCTAAGTACTATATAGTCGATAAGAACGGAACCAACGATAGCATCAGCACCGATCGCTTAAAAGCAGCGTATTTAGAAGGAAATCCTATCTACGTGGATTTTCCTTCGGTACAATCGAACGACACGACTCCGACACTTATAATACCTCAGCCGACAACCAACACACACGATGATACTTCGACAGTATCCGAAAATAAACTTAAAACGACGCATTCTGGAAGAAGGGTGAGATTTCCAGAACATTTAAACGACTATTGCACGTAAGGCACTTCTCGACATTTTATATTATTTTTTAAAAAAAAAACAATTTTAATATGCTTATATATTTTTATTTCTACCTAAAAAAAATCAAAACAAAAAAACAATTTTTTTAACGCTATTACGTGTTCATGAGTTTATTTTCCAATTTTTTTCCGCCGACATTGTGTTTTTACGCACATACGAGTGTATTTTCGACGTGCACTTACATTTTCTTTTTTCTTTTCCAGGACGGCTGGAAAAGAACGATGACGTTTATGAGGAACTGAAATTTTCACTGTGCATTTTCTTTATTTACTATGTTGTACCTCGGTCCCATATAGTAAGGAAAGACGACCAGACGCTACTACACTTAGTAGGCTATCAGAAGAGTGTTTACCAAGGACAAACTCGTTGGGTTCAAACTGCCTGCTGGCCACGTCTTAGGGTCGTCACTGCCCCACTATGTGGGGAGTGATCTGTAGCGGTAAATAAATCCCAAAAATAAATAGCTCTGTAAGGTTTCGACATTGGATGCTGACCATATGTTTTAGTGGACTCATCTAGCTGAAGGCGCTCGGTCAGGCATCCGCACCAGATCACGTGTGGTAACGCCGTGCTCAACATCAACCGCAATCGCTAGCCAGATTAGATCAGAGAATTCCGATATATTGGTCATCGCCAAATATACTCTTCCGATCTCCTCGACTCTGTCTTTTGATTTCTCTGGGCGGGAACGAAATATATTAGGTGTTACTGATAGAAGCGTTGTCAAACACTGGATACCTGTGACATCATCAATTCTATAAAAATATCGTTTTTGTTTCCGAAGTAGTTTATGGACAGTAATATTGGGCACTTTATTTCCGGTGTATTTGTTCGCAATTTCAGTTTTCCTCCTTCATGATCATAAATTACTTTTTGTTCTGGGTGTTATCGTATCAAGTTTCCTTTTGAGAACTTCTACCTGATGGCTGGACAGTGCAATTATAGCAATTACTAATGCCCGGGTTGGCGATACCCCGAGATGCAGTGGACAAATGCATGTGCTGGTACCACGAAATATGTACGAATCTAACGTCTTCGGTTTTCAAACGGTTTAGTAAAAGTGGTTGATTGTGGTTTTGTAAGAAGTGCCTCTCAGATGCAGCTAAAAAGTGTACTGGTAAACCAGGTCAGCTTACATTCGACACAGAAATTGATGTACAGCCACCTCAAATGAGCTCGGTAACAGCTGACTCACATCGATCAAAGGAAGAAAGATTGACTTCAAAGAGGTCTGTTCTAAATAAAACCTAAATAATAAATTTGTACCTAACATGCCTTCACTTTTTTATCTTCCAGAACAGTAGATTTATGAGGACACCATAAAAAACGTTTACAAGCCCAGAACAGATTACTTGCCAGCTGACTATCGACATTCACATAGAGCCATAAACGAGCGGAATTCATTAACTGAACACGTTATTGAAACCCAATCTGTCGAATCTTTCAAGTAAAAGTTAGGTCCACTGAGAAGACATCATTGCCAGGACGTACACAACCTAAGTGATTCTTCCGAACTGGAACAGAAACTCCCCAAGTTGTGACTGAAGCTAAATTTATTTTGGCCTTGAGTTTTCTAAAAATATGGGGAAAACTTGATTTACTTGTTATCGAAAATTATCCTCTGTTGCAATGGTGTATATAAGGACGAATAAACAATTTTCCAAATACACCTGGCAGTTTCAAGTTCAAAGTATTGGACTCTCTACGCTCAAATTTTTTAAAAGATTAGAAGCGCTCACATTGATTTCTGAATCCGTATTCGTGCGTGTATTGGTTACCGCTGTTGTCAGGTTATACTTGAGCAATCCTTTTATTTGAACTGTGATTACGACCGGAAACCTGTGAATGCTGTTAGTCGCGTTATTTGAAATGTAAGAATGTGCATCTATAATATAAACGAATTTTTATTGAGGTCTGAAATTCATTAATATACTTTGAATTCCAAAACAACATTGGCCAAGACTTACCTTGTTTTTTTTAAAAATGGCGATCAGCTTACATGAAAATGGGATTCTTCGAAATACTACAAACTGGCTAAATATTTAGCCATGCATACCAACAACTGTCTTCCAATCCTTATTGCATACTGGATCAATGCCTATAAAAATACAACAATAAGCTTCACTATCTATTTGTTCAGTAACCCGTTCATAGGATGTTAACATGTACTAGAAAAAACGGTAATGTAGACGACTTGTAGCATTAATCATACACATCAGGATCGAATGCCGTACATAGATTGCGGCCTGTACTAAACGCCTTGTCGTTATCAGCAGGTGAAACTGAAATTCCCACCATAAAAGTGCTTTACACCGATTATTTTAAAAGGCTGTGGACGTAAACAGGATAAAATCATTATGAATGTATAGCAGTTTTACTGAGCTTTATTATAAGGTGTGGGAAACCAAATAAAAAAACTAGGATCGCGAAACTCAAAGCGAACAAAAGGGTGCGGAATAGTATTTAATTAGAACTTTAAGTAACAAGACTTTAAATTTTACAGTTATAACTCGCAAATTGATAGATATAACAGCAACAAAGTTTCGACTAAACACTTTAGAAATTACTTATTTCAAAGCACAAAGCTAAATAAACATAACAAAATATTACATTTGTGTTGACTGATGTGGAGTGCGTTCCCTAGATTAATTAGTTAGGATTTTGTCGTTGAAAAATTATGGATTGATAAAAACATCTTAATAGTAGACGAAAGTAGTAAACTTTGAAATATTTTTGACCGTACTTTAGGTTTAAAAATGAATATTATTTAGGCTTCTTACGTATTCTTGAAATTTTTTTACTGACGTTTAAGGGATTTTTGATTTTATTGATGAGTCTAAGCATATGGTATTATTTTGAAAATCATAAACGGTATACCAAACTTCAACGTACTATGGGAACAAACATTTAAAGAATACAACTTCAACACAACTGGCTCTGCAGAAACGCATAGTAAAAGCTTAATTGAACAAATTCCATGAAAGTGTTATGGGAAAGACCCGTCAGTTCATAAACTAGCGTTATTATCAGACACATTGGATTTCATGTACTATGATGCATCGAAGAACATATTGGATGGAAGTATGAGCACAATTGATAATTTTGTTACATTTTTCCATTTCGAGTGTTTAAATAGTAACGCATTTGCGTATGTTTGTACATTACTACACCAGCAAACCTTAATATGGTATAAAAAGATTATTTGTGGCTTAATTTGCCGAATAACTATAAATACCGCTTTTTAAAATCATGAAGATTAAGTCGCAAGGAATCTGTTCAAGAGAATCCATCAATGACGTGACTAAGAGTCTGTCTTATTCTGACTACTACGCATGGTGGCATACTTTGACCACTTTAAGCATCAACATTAATTCAATCTGTCATTTTAGTCCTCCTATGAAAAAATTATGTTTCATGTAGTATGTTATATTTCCATATGGTCTTTAATTTTTCGAGTTCCCATGACGGTACATTTACCTTACCTGAGAGCTATAGTTACTTAATACTAAACTATCATTAGGAACAATAACAATGAGAAGCGTATATAGCACACCATTGTCGCTGTACCTAGGATACAACCTACCTACCTCACCGCCTTCGATGGATCAAGAAAGTCATGAGAACACCACAAGTGTATCCAACTAAGTAGATATCCCGTCGAGACATCAACACCGTAGATGTTACTTTCAGTAGCTGGAAAGGAGAGCCTAACGCAGAGATTTTCGAAGATCTTTGGTCAGCCACCGATGTCCCAAAAAGGCATGAGGCTTAAATAAGCAATCAACTTTAGGCAACGTTTGACAATATTCTTAATATATTGAGGAAATTGACATACATTCATCCTGCTTCTTGCGTACGCTTAATTGTTTTGGTTATACATTCGTAGTGATTAACCTACAAACGGTGTCGTGGATATATCTGAAGTCTTTTACTGATGCTTTTTGCATACATGATAGCTTTATTTCTGTTTCTCCATTTTACACTTTCGCATAAATTTGACTTCTATTCCAGCTGAATTATGAGAAAGTTCAAGTTAACCTTGACAACATTCTAAAAGACGTTTGTTACTTTTGTTATAAGTCCTGCCGATGAAAAATTCATTCTCTTTACGCACAAATAATTCAAATGCCGAAGTCAAACTTCTACGATCAAAAGATGACCTAATACACGAACTCGTGACTTCTGAAATTAAATACATAAGTTACCTCAGGAAGGTTTTGAAGGTAACTTCATATTGTTTGTCTAATCTTTTAGTACTTTGCAAGGCCCTTAATTGACCGCAGATACTTGCCAGAAGATATACACTCTGAAATTTTTGGACGTCTCGTGCCCATCTTAAGTGTCAATGAAACTCTTCTTGAGTCTGTCTTAACTGTTGGAGTAGAGAAAGCATTTCTGAAAATTTCTCCATGTTTGAAATTATATGCAGATTATGCCAACCGCTACCAAACAAACGTTGTGTTTATGGAGGCGAGTTGTTCAGTTTGCGTGGTTTTATTTTTATTATGTTTCTATCTGTACTGTTACTGTTAATGACAAGATCAGATAATCCGAATTGAAATACAAATTCATCTAAGCTCCAAACTGGTTAGATGTTAATATTTGCTTCAGCTTAAAATTTTGCAAATTATGATATTTCCCCTTAACTTCTTAAGTTTTTCGTTTGTCCCTGGCCTATCTCTTTTGCTACTGCGGTACATAGTTAACCAAAATATAGTATACTAAAAGCAACTCCTCTAATTGCACCGTTTTACTATTGGCATAAAGAGCTACACAGCTGAAATCTTACGTCTGAAATACATGGTTTGTTTAATATATAAGCAAACTGAGGCACTTAGATTTTCTTTGGAGCATTAGAAAAACTAATTAATTTTGTGGAAAGTTTGGGGAGATTATAAAGATCTAGCTTTCCAAAAAAGGCATGAGAGTTTTTCAGCGTAAGCTGTGAAGACTACATGGTTGATACAAGGTTGGGATGACCCTGTACCTGTATTGATGAAAACACTGAACGTTCACCGGTCTCTTTTACTTTTTAATCGTTGACTCCCTGTTGGCATAGTTTCTAGAGACCTGAATTTAGAAAACTCGTCTGTGCGAGATCGTGCAAAGAAATGAAACAACCAGGCAGTAAAAAGGCCTGACTTGCACAACATTCCATGAATGTTGTGAACAAAAGAATCAATGCTGAGACTAGTGCAATGACAGAAATGGAGAGTACTTTAAAAGATTAAGATTGATATACTCTAAACTTTGTAAAACAGAGTCCTTATGGCCTCCGCTGAGGTATTTTATAGACTGAAAGCTTCGAGCTAAAATGCAACCTGACAATAATCATTGTATGTGAGATATTACAATCGGGATATTGAAAAACAAGTTGGGCAAAGAAATGCCTTCTTTCCACTAGTTCTTCATCAAGGCTCTATACTAATACATAGGTTTTGCAGTTAAGAATGAAATCAGTTGCAAACAATTGGTGGTTGATCAGTTTAACAATGTCTCCTCTAAAACGGTAGTCACAGTCTCAACGAATGTGACATCAAATCTACAGACAAGGTTGTGTAATCAGTTAATTACAAAAATTCGTTATGTAGGAATAAGAGTTAAGTAAGTTCGAAATTTATGTCCGTCCTCCACGACTATCTGGTTAGGTCCTAGAGATAGTACTACACGGTGAATTAAAACGTCACTAGACACGGCTCCTAATTAAAGCCGGTGGCGGTCCTTTCATGGTTTTCTTTTAGTTCTTAAACTTGAGAGGGACTTATTTAACTGAAAGAACTGGTTAGATTTCTCTGAACTAGATATCATAAATCTATTATTCATCTCCGATTTTCTGGTTTTATCAATAGATTTGAGACTATCTTTTACGACGTGCTGTGAAACGTCTCTATGCAGTACCCTTAGAGGTTCTGCTATACATCTTTCTGCCACAGCGGTAATCCAGATTTATATACTTTTGGATAGATATAATGCCTTAGTGACATGGTACCGCTGGGTTTGAGTGTTACATAAAAATCCTGAGAGATTGCATCTGTTTGTCTTGGGCTATTTAGTGATTAAGTCAATTGTCATGGTCTCTTCTGCTGGGTCATTATTCGAGGATATTGTACTTATCTTTTCTTCAGTTTAAGTAGGGATTTTTTGTTTCTTTTGGTCAACATCCTTTCTATGCTGTGCCTGTAGTTTAGATAATAATAGCAACAATCTAATAGACTGGAGTTAAGTCCTTCTAAATCCCCGTAGATAAAAGGTATTAGGCCTCTTATTTATGGGTAGATGTTTTAAACCTGAACTTGTAAACAGTACTACCATCACAAAATTCGAAACCAGGAGATGAGACTTCTAAATAATTAGATAAGGATAAACACTCGAAAAACTACGAACATTCCGACATAGATTTATTGGGAATCCAATTTTCTAGGCTTTGAACGAACTAAGTACGCTTTCTTTCGCTTCTTGCGTTCATTATTTAAGTCACGCATTATCGAAATTGTTACTTGAAGTGGTCAGGTAGATTCCCAACTCCATATGATCTCTCAGGAACATCCTTTGTCAACTCCGTAATGCATTGTTTTTGTAATACGAACAACATAGGTTCATAAAGGTTTCTTTTCATATTCCACATATTGTAGTAAATCCTGATTTTTAGCTATAATATAATAGAGAAAACTTCACATTATAAAAATAAACAAGAAAAAATACCCTTAGTCTGAAAGTTTTCCTCAAAGAATGAAGATATCTAAAGTGTACGTCTCTTTTAAAACGTGCTGATCTGAATATGAGGATCCATAAAATCACACATTAACAAGCATAATTATAAATCAACCGTGAAAAGTCAATAGGTAAGATGAACTAATCCTTTATTAAGATTTTATTAGTGTAAAAGTTGTTTGTTTGACATTTTGAAACTAATCATAGTTCTTAAAAGAACTCATTTGCAATTTAAATTATTTTGTAACATTTACAAACAATCATTTCACGGAATACAATTGAGTACTTTTTGGTTAGCAGGAAAAAGTTACTTTTATGTGGTTTAGAATTTCGCTTGATTCGTGGTATCCGTACATGTTAAATTAAGTGTTATTTTTGGTCTTTTAGACTTGTAATGCATTCATACCAGGACTAATGGAGTTTATAAATAAACAAGAAAGCTTACCAGATGTTAATTTACAGCTTTCAGCACTCCTCATAATGCCCATACAGCGCATTCCTCGGTATGTTTCTGTATTGATAAATCTTTGGTTTTATTATGTATGATAATTGATATCTGTAGAACCATGCCTGTTAAGTATAACTTTTCATATATATTAATGCCTTGCCTGGTCGCATTAATTTTCTTAAAAGAAGGATTTTATGGACATTGATATCATTTGAAAGAACTATTAGAAATAGTTCTAGATACCCTTGAAGGCTAAAACCTACATGCCTGACCAAACGTGTCAGCAAACTACCGCTACACTTCTGTGTCAGAATCAAATTGTCGAAATTATAATATTATCGTATTATTGCTCCGCTCGCAAATTATGTTTCCTGTGGTCTGTGGTTCAAATTTCACGCTTGTGTATGCGTTTAATATTTTTGCCTGTACCACGATTTGTGTGGTTTAGTCATTAGTACACAAACATGTGTGTGGTCTCACAGATAGGTTATTAATTATTTTCTACGTGCCGTTGAATAGAAGGAGTATGTCTTCAGTGAAATTAATTTTATGTTTCCGCAATGTTGATGGATGTACGCGAAAATTTAACGAACTTCTATTTTTTGTAGGTATTCTTTAATACTCCAAGAACTTGTTATCATTTGCCTTCAAATGGACGGTTTAAGTAATCCAGAAGCAAATAAATGTGCCATTAGTATTAACGAAGCTGCTCGTCAACATTTTATGATACCAGAATATGCAGCCACTCTTATTTTAAAATTATGGGATAATCATCATCAAGTGCATTACTCTCCAGAATCTCATGATTCAAGTTTTTCAGATCTGAAACGTTATATTCATAGAATGTGTGCTTCCACAATTATTCTTATTGCAGGTTTTGCTAGTGTGGTAGCGACAGCAACATTTTTAAATGAACAGATTAGAATCAGTGAACAAGCTACTAAGGCCGCTTTATTACAATCAAGACTTTTTGGCAAATGGTCGCAAAACCTCATTCTAGTACCTGGGCGTAAACTATTGAAGTATGGATTGGTGAAAAAGGTAAGCATTTTAAACTTCTATGGTGTTAGGTTCTTGAAATCACGTAGTCGTTTTGTTAATTTTATACCATCTAAGCAGGAATCTTTGACTTTCTACATATTTCGAAATCTTAGTTTCTGGTTTGTTATCACTCTTCATTAACATCTTAAAACGAAAGTGGGTTCAGGCTTTACCTATGAGTATTGAGCGTTTGAGCTGAGTACAACTTCATATGTATCATTTTTGATGTAATTCATCTCTCAATTCAATCCTTTTCTATGTCGATAACCCAACTTATTTACTTTGTTAAATATATAATCATAGCTTTTTTCATTGCAGGTGAATTCTCTTGATGGAGTTGCGGAAACTCGTTTACTAGTGATTATGTCTGATATACTGATATGTGCTAAACCGCGAACCCAGACGGAGTTGGAATTTATTTTCAGCAAGAAAAAGTGTGTTTATAGCCGAAAATATCCTAATCCTTTTACACAGTTGTACGGAAGAAAAATGTCTTTAGGGTTTACAAAACACATTCGAAAGTCGAATGACACAAACTCATTGATTCACGTTTCTAAATTTTCTAAATCAGTCTCACAAAGTTCTAACTCTCAAACTTTTAACGATTCAACTGATTTTTTAACAGATAGTAAAGTTTGTTTTTCATGTGTTGCTGTCTATCCTCTTCATCACTGTCATGTTCAAATTCATTTTAAACCACATAATACGTTTCTGCAACCGATCCCTGAGTCCCCTGAATGTCCACCAAATCAGAACAACTCAGTGTTTATTTCACCAATTTCTATCGGAGGATTTAGTCGTGAGTATTATTCTCTGTTAATTACAATACTTGTTGCCTGATTTGTTTATTTGCGAGGTGTTGTATATTGTCATCAAACTTTAACATTAAAAAAATCTGAATTATTCAGTTTTTTTATCAGTTTTCTTATGCATATGAATTTATGTCATCAGTTTATTTGCTTTTACAAAACCCCCAAATGCCCTGGTGCGGCCGAGAGTGGGGAGAGTCCGCTTTCCCTCTTGAAATACTCTCACACGGCCACGCGTACACAGCCTCTGCGAGGGAAGTTCTACTCATTGCCTTGTTGTGGCGGGGGTCTTGTTTACGAAAATGTGAAAACGAAAAGCGAATGTCCGGCGCTTTAACCGGATTCCAAACCAATGGTGCACTTGGGCTCCAGTATCCTGCGGGAACAAATGGCGTATGCACCAATCGCTGGTCACCGGTTACCATGGGACTGCATCTCCTTACGATGCTCCACTGCCTTGTGGGTTATACTTTTAGGTCAAAGGCTCGGGGTGTGGCCCCCTAAGATAACCTGTTTCGGTCTGGGCACTCGGGCAGTATCGCAGCCCACACGCAAATGATGAACTCTCTATATCTATGGAAACTACTTTTTCATACACATAGTTCCCTTTATCATTTTGAAAAGAGCAAGAACAAAGATTCTAGCAGAATAGCATGAATTCATTTTATTTCGTAGGTTCTTGTCAGCTGCTTACAACCTGTGATATTTAAAAATCATAATTGCATAATGGATTTAAATTGCTTACAGAATATTGTAAATATATACCTAATGTGAAAGAATATTCTACAACATTAATTGTGACAACAGTTCAAAAATGGGTTAGAAACAATTGATTACATAATGAATAAACATTGATAGGAATATAGTGATTAGAGTTCAGTTGAAAGATTATTAATTTGAAAGGTAGTTGAAAAAATAAATTAGAACCAATGATGTAATAATTGCAACAGAAAAAAGAGAAAAAAAATTTTAAGGTTCAGTGAAGGAATATTTGTCACCAGGGTAAGGAAAGATTAACCACCTTCTCCTTTTGAATACATAGGTCAGGTTTTTGTCGCCTGATGTCAATGGCTTCAGCAAACTTAGCACGCTGGTTAGCAGAAAAACTAGAACCGGTTCATGGTAGATTAGCAACATATACGTCATCGCCGATGTGCCACCTGGCGTCCTCCCTCTGCATCTCAAGCCTGGACTCAGATTGATCACATAGCGATCAGCTACCGCTGGCGTGGTTGTGTACAAGACTGCCGCTCCTTTTGGAGTACCTATCTGAACTCTGACCATGCTTTGGTCTGCACCAATCTTACCTTACTTTTCGGTGGACAACGAAGTGACCACCACCAACGGATTGATGTTAGCAAGCTGGCTGCAACTTCTGTTGCTAGTAAGTATCGAACCGAGCTAGCTTCTAGGTTAGCTACCATTCCACCGAAAATTATAGATGAGCATTGGTTGCAATTGCATGACGCCATGAAAATGGCGGGTACAGTCAGTTGTAGGTTCGCGAAACGTCCCGCTTATAAGCACTGGGTTTCTTCAGGTTCCTTACAACTCATTGAAACCCGTCGGTCTACTCTGGGTGACCGTGAGTTTGACCATAAACGAAGGATGTTACGTAAGGAAATTGGGCAAAGCTTGCGTAAGGACCGAGAAGCCTGGTGGTCGAAGCGTGCTAATGAGTTGGAAGCAGCAGCTGCATCTGGTAACTACCGGAAGCTCTTCCAGCTCATCCGAGCCACTGGCAGCAAGAAGTCTGGTGTGAGTGAAACAATCTGCGAGGATGATGGGATGCCAATCACTAACATCCATCGACGTCTTGGACGATGGGCAGAATTTTTCAAAGGGCATTTCAACTGGTCTGCTGCTCCGGCAACATCGGTCAGACTGTCCTGCCCTCCATGGCCGGTGACGACTGATCCACCAAACGAGGAGGAAGTGCGCAAGGAACTCCAACTCTTGAAGCGTTACAAATCACCTGGCCCAGATGACTTACCTCCGGCTCTTTTTAAAGATGGTGGTGACTTTCTGACTAAGGAATTGACGACGTTGTTTACAAAGGTTTGGGAACTAGAGAGTGTACCAACGTCATGGAATGGGCCGATAGTTGTCCCTATCTTTAAAAACTAAACTATGCAATGACCAGCTTATTAAAACGTATTATTTAAGATTGAACTAACCAATGAGTCAAAGATGGTGATATTGTATTTGGGTTTCTTTTCAGGTCACACTGCATCAACACCATTGGCGTTCGATGAATATGCATGTGGATCAACATCTGTTGTAAGACTGAAATCGGATTCATTTATTACCTTCAATGAAGATGACTACACAATGAGACACCCTGAACCTTTGAATGAATACAGTTTCACTGTATGTCTTAATTATCATTTAAATAACTTTGTTATTTTTGTGCATGGTAATCATGTAATATACATTTAGCATATAATTAGGTAATAAGATGGCATTATCAGTGTGTTCGATCAATGGCTAAAAATCTTATCGATATATATCTGCTTTTTTTATTGTCAAGGAAGATCACTGATCTTCATCCAGAAATTGTACTTCAATAGGGTGTTCTAGAATCCATCTTCCAGTTTGTACTAATTTTTATAAACTGCCAATAATCGAACTGTTTTTATCACCAAACTATTGGTAATAGTAATTAAAATGTTTAGGGATATCATAAATAAATGATTTTTATACTTAGCCTTATATTGTGTTAATATCCTTCTACAACACATTCACGGTTAATTCTTTCGATTGAACTTATTCTTCAAATGGTCGTGGTTCCAGTTCGTATAAAATAAGTAATCAGCAAGCACACTGTCTCCGACGATTCTAATTGTCTTATGCATCTATTTTAATTAGTTAGCCGTTTCTATATTGCTGCATAGGTGCAAACCTCATATCCTACATTTTTAAACAGTTTACTGCATGCTTTTCAATACGAATGTACAGCCTAAGTAAATGATTTTGTCGAATAGAAAATTTATTACTGTTCTAAAGTAATCCAGATTTTCAGTTGTTTCGTTTGTAAATCAAAGCACTATTCATTTTTCATTATTTCTACAGAAGAGATATAGCACCCATAATTTAATGTCATATGTAATTACTTATTTATTGTGTCTAGCCTTGTTGCTTTCAATACCCGAGGAGCATCATCTTTAAATAAGTAATGTCGATAAAATAAATCGATTCGTAAGTTCCCAGTGGTTTAATGATTATACGTTTTTGTTAGCGAGAATACCCAGTATCAAAGGAAACCTCCTATACACTTGTAAGGAAATGAATCGGCTTTTTAGTTAGATTTGGTTCATACTTATTATAAATATTTGTGAAAGACACAGAAAGCACTAGGGTTTTAGGTTAAAATGAATTCATTTCATCTCTTGTACTCTAAACCTTCCACACATACACCAAATTGTACTTATACATTAAATGTTTTGCAAATATAGCTTCGTGTGTAATATGAGTAAGATTATCAAGTTCACGAGCAAAAAATTATTATCATAAGCTATATTTCCAAGTTCACTTTATAGAAGAATGAAATAGGAGCGAAAAAAACATGACGTCAAGTACAAGAAACATGTTCAAGGTGCTACGATCACAGTTGACAAGATCACAAAATTCATATTATTTACCAATAAACTCTAGTAAAGTAATCATATTAATGGTGAAAATAATAATAATTTTCGGAGATGATATCAACATAGAAAGTAATGATTATTTTTATTAGTGAACTGAATGACTATGCATATTGTATAGGAAATTACATTTGTGAAACATCTTAAGTATTTATAAAAGTCAGTGGGGAATTTAGAGCTCACCAAATGAAATGAAATGACTTCATCCTACTATGTTTTTTTCTGTTTTGCAAAAATTTCAAGCATATTATATAGAAATTAAATATTCTATCACAGCTGTTATATCTTTACATTGAGATCAGTTATTATTAATATACGAATATTTTTGTCTTCTAGGTGCACTGTCGTGATGCTAACTTTACTATCGTGAATGGTAATTTAAGTGAAGCTGAAGATTGGATATCTAGTTTGGAGACAGCCATTCAGTAAGTGTTCCATACATTCTTTGAAGCGCTATTTTTACTTTGTCATATTCTTAGTAGTCACAATTATGTAACCAGAGTATTCTCGGATTCAATACATTTATTTGGTGTGGTTTTTTAGTTATACAGTTTTGATATAAATGCACATAAAATTTACATAAATGCAAAACAAATCTTTCCAAACTTTCAACAGTGAATTTTTTTAAACAAAAGAAACATATTAGCCTACTTATGATGACTCAAATGAAGTATCCGATTTGTTAAAATTTAACATAACCCAAAGTACTTCCACACTTTAAATTTATTCATCTAGTTGAATATATATGTTATTACTTACTTCATTTTAGTATAATTCTTTTTAGGATGTTCCATTTCTTTGTGGCTATTTAGGTGATTGAACTAACAGATTTATGTATTGCTTTATACTTAGACATTTTCAAAACCTATTTATTTTTTAGAGCTGTTAAAACAGCACGAAAAAGCCTTCGTAAGGAAAGCAGTGCGAAGTGGCCAATGCGTGCTTCAGATTTTATTCAATTTGAACAATGGCTAGAACAGAAACGTATAGTCGAAGAGGTGAGAATTCTTCAGTTGATAGAGTTTCATATAAATTCTCATAAAAAGAGAACAACATGCTGAACAGAATATGGTGAACGTATTGCGTTTTATTACCCTTCGCATATTACCTCACACGTTTAAGTCAGTTACAGTATACAACATACCATAGAAACTGTCATAACTTAGTTTTTAGGAACCGGATTATTACCTAACAAATCGTCATACATTTTGTGGGGTGACGTAATAAACATATTGAGTTAGACAAAAAGCCAATCGAAAGCATACACAAACAACATAAACCGGCAAAATGACTCCAATCAATCGTATGCAATGACATAAGAAAAAAAGCCGAATGTTATCTACAAAACAAAGTGCTCTGATTGTGAGAAACAGTATATCGAACTAAATGGACAACCCCTTCATCTTCATCTGCGTTAACATCAACTAGCTGTCAAACCTCAAGATGTATCGCCCGTACCAATGCACGTAGATAATTATATGTGGTAGTAGTTTTACCAAGATATCAGTCACTATTCCTCTTACTACTATTAAAGTGTCTGTTAGGTATTCTAATAAATAATACGAATACTCTGCAAACATAAATAATAATTTTTTCCATTATAAAAGCTGTGCGATACTGTGGTTTGTATGTGTCGGTATCATAACACAGGCATAATTTTAATAAGTTTCTGTCAGCTGCTGTTTTCATAAGCGCTTAAGTAATAATTAAAGCTGTTAACCTCGATTTGGTTATTGAGTATGTGACGTCAGACCATAGAGGATTACGTTGTGCGTTATTCTTGATACAAACTTTACGTGTTTTCGAATTTAACTAAGAATAATTTTAGGCTGAGTTTATCGTCTATGTCTGCCAATTCATAATATGAAGGGTCAATAAAGTAATCATAGTTAATTAGCTTGAGTTCTTGCAACATGTGTTTATTTTTCAATATGAAGAACGGAAATATTTGTACCTTGAATGTTCATTATAGTGTGAAATATGCGAAAAGAGTACTAAAGCCCAGTTTTATATTGGTAGTTGAAGACCATCAAAAAAGTGATATTTTCACCGGATAATGAGTCAATAAAAGCGCTTTGCATCTTTACGAAAGTTTACTATACTTTCATTGTTAGATTATTAACGAATTGAATTAGGTGAAGGCCAGGTAATATGTGTTATATATGTATGAGATTAAATTACTTTCACGATAAAACACCCTCAGTTTCGGCCATATAATGACTTGATATTAAAGCCAAGGGTTATAAGCTAGAATTTAACCCCATCTGCTTAAACTTCAACCGAAAAATCAATTACTCGATTCCTTTCCTAATTAATATATCTTAAAGCATGATGTATAAACATGTATTCGGTTATTAAATTATATCACTATCAATATATACAAATTTAAGACTCCTTGTTATAAATAAAGCAATAATTTAAGAAAAGTTATATAATTTTTATATTAATTTAAACCATGCTATTGGCTAAACTCATGGAATAGATGGATTGAAAGCTTGTGTGAAAAATCATTCTTTAAAAATGTGTTCTGATTAAAATTAACAAATAACAATTTCATTGTTGTTTTACTTATTCAAATGTTATGCTTTATGGTTCTGATAGAAATAAAGCTTAGTAAAATTTAATAAAAGAATAAAACCAGTTTTACACTAAATGGTTTTCTTCTTGTTTTAATTCTGGAGCGATTTATTGAGCTTTATCAGTCTTTGTTTGGCTTTGGCTAAATAACTATAGGCATGGCTATATGGAAAAATTTCAACAACAGATAATCTATTCAAATCATCACTGTCCATAGGCTATTTGACTGTTGTTGTTGCTAGTTCAATGTGATTTCATATTTAACTGAGGACACAACATAGAGCATTTTTGTACAGTTTAAAAGTAGCTTTCATTAAACATTGTTTTTAACCTTTTATCAGTAAATATTATTATTTTGATCCATTACCGCTAGTCAATGAAATCTTCTCGAATCTTTCAAAGAATGGGAATGGAAGAGTTGACCATTGATAATCCCCTTTCACCAGTAAATTTTCTTGAGTCATCTAGAATGGAACAAAAACTTGAAGAATATCGTAGACGTAAATCCATCGGCTGTGATACCGAAAAAAACAATCGGCTTTCTTATATGTTTTGTGAGTCTGGTAGTCTTGAACTTAATCCCAAAAAATCAAAACGTGATAAACAATGTGGACTGTTTTGTCATTCGTTTATGTCTAAATTTAAAGAAAATAACTTAGTTAATGCCTCAGTAAGTTGATTTTAAATCTAAAAACGGTTGTTTTTAAATTTTACTATGAGAACTAGTACTTATCATGTTATATAAATATACTTTGTACGTTTTATTAAAAATACCTTGTTGAGAGTGCGTGAGATAAATTAACTGAAATAAAACCAGTACTGATTTATCTTTATTGTTGAGTCTAAAGTTTTATAACTTTTACCGTATTGCATATCAGTAGGTTTTACAGATCACTGCAAGTCGAATCATTCAAGTCAACTGAAATATATTACTGTTTTGTTAGGTCAGCCAACTGTCAAGTTACATTTTCAATCCTTTTATTTAAATTTTGAACCATTTATCCTTCTCTCAAATGGTTGGGTTTTTTTAACAAATAACCGTAACTTTGAGTTCATTTAAATATTAAGGATGAACATACATCTTGTTTAGGTTTCATCGTTACAAAAATTGAGAAACACCATTAATAAGTTGTTTTCCCATGTTGAAAACTATTTTTGAAACCTTATTACCTATGACACATATTTCGATGCTGAAGAAATAACCATTCAAATGTTTCTTTATCACATACCCATATACCTGTTATTTTAATTGCCCAAAAAAAATCTGGATGTAAGTGCTATTGATTTTAAGAAGGGCAGGCTGGGTATTTTACTAGGTTCTTCTACAATTCAAAACAAATTTTCGATAATATTCATAATTCTCATCGAGTGACATTTTAATATTATTGATCCCGATACCCCAGGTTTAAACCTTGCAGTGAAGCAAACTTCATTAAGGTAAATGTTTTATTGAAATTAGAAATCTCTTTTTCTTGACAAAAATAACTACTATCAACAATGATTCAGCTTGGTTTAATTAAACATGAAAATAATTTTTCAAAAGAATAAAATGATTCTTTAGTGTTTTAGATTGTTCACCATGTGTGTCTTAAGTTGAAATTATTGAGAGCAAACTTTGGTCTAAAATTATGTACCACCATTTTGTAATGATAATTATAATTAGGAAAAAATATTAACGGAAAGCCCTAGGTTCATGTTAACAATATACAAATAGTTCTAAGTTCTAAGATTAAGTCAGAAAAGAGCCATCTTTATGCAAATGAAATGGAACAGGTCACTATCTCGCAAAATACTAAGCATGTAATAATATTTTAGGCTAAATGTATTGTCAATTCAATATTTCTTGAAAGTGTATCATTCATAAAAGATGAATAGATTTGAATTTATTAATTAAGCTAAGTGAGAGGTCCTTGATTATAAGATTGAATTTTGTATCCGAGATGATTACTGAATTTTTAGTGAGACTATGTTTCCCTCGGGCTATTTGTAAGCCATTTTAACTGATTTATAGTTATATCATCTTAAATGTTCTCAACCACTGATTAAGGAAATCTAGATGATCTGTACTTCGAAACCCTCATTTCTTTATACGATGCAACAATATTCATAACTGACACTAGTTAATCATTGTTTGACTTCAATCTAAGCCACTCATCCGTCATGCTAAGGTAGCCCTTAACTAGGTGGGCGCAAGAAACTTCTCAGTCATATCAGTTAGTTGAAATTCTGGCTTTTAAGTGCTTTATAACCCATACTTCGTAACTTATACATAGCATCGTTATAGTTCATGTACATTAAAGGTCTAGTATTTTGATGGAGGAAATTTCATATTTCCATGACATTGGTTTTTGTTAGATTCTACATCCACTTAGTTAAAAATGGAATATATTTTGAATTATTATCATTATTATTAGTGGCTTTATTCAGTAATATATTTTAGGTATAATAAAGCATTTACAGCACAAGGTATTTCAACAAGTTCCTTTTACAAAAAAGAAAAAAGGCGAAGGAAACTGCTAATTCCATACATATATACATAAACTAAGTAAATAAACTACCTGGAATTAAATGAAACGTTTTTTAAGATTTGAATCTGTACAACCTTTTGATTAGAAACGTGTTTAAGAATACAAGCTGTTGACTAGGTCAGCTCTAACAACCTGTTTGCCACACGGTATATTTTCTAGATAAGGTATTCTGATGTATTGGAATTTCGTTCTACCAGAAGATATACAAGGAGAAATATATAGATGACGTGGATGGTTAGTACCTGATAAGACTACACCTTCCATAGGTTTACAAGATTTTAGATGTTTATCCACAACCATATTAATAATGGCCTTAAAAGATTCACCGCACATCCTGCTAACTGCCTTCAGCACTCCTCAATACAGCAAAGTCTTTCTTCACAATCGTGAGGATAAATAATGGAGGACAGTAAAGAATTATAGGTAATACTCAAGACTTAACAAGTCGTAAAAGTTAGTATTCTGTAGGGGAAAAAGCATGAAGTCTCTTTATACAGTAAGTCAGACAGAAAAATTTCTTCAATATTAACCAAACATGGAAGATCAAGAGAGATCAGAGGAAAAAATTACACTAAGATAAATGACCTTTGAGAACGTTTTTATTGAAGAATCTCCAATAGTACCATCTTTATGGGGTTCCAACAGGGTGTTTAGGTGCTGTTCATATGTCAGGCTAAAGTTAACAGTTTGACACATAGATGGACTAGGTGTGAGACCATTAACAACAGACCACAATTCAATAAGAGACAAGAACTCATTCATTTTAAAGGTATGTAAATAGGTAAGAATCATTGTACATACAGTGAGATCGTCCGCATCTTTAACAAAAGTCTTTTCTGTTGAAGACAATAGATCACGAAAAAAATCATAGAAAAGAGGGTAAATAACAGATCCTTGTGACATATTAGCCAATTCTATGTTTTAGGCTTCTCCGTAACTCCATTGTAATATTAATCTGTTTTCATTTAGTTGTAAAAAACATTTCAGAATATCCTGTTCTTAAAATGACTTCTAGGTACTTTATCATTCAAACGATTCTGTTCGTTTGTTATCCATAACAAGCATTGCTGATAAGCCCACATCAAATTCCATTCCGTTCAATACAGGAAATCATTTGTACAGCAGTGATCGTTGTTACCATTTGGGTGATACTCATCGTAGTTCATTTCCATCTCAATTAGCGTAAGTTTACATGATTTTCTTTCTTACACTTAAAGCAAATGTTGGTCGTAATAATATATAGCTCAGTATTTTGTGAATACAAAATCATGTACTGGTTATCACTAGACTAGAAAAAATTGGACATCATGAAAGAACAAATAAAATACACTATTTAGAATTCATTATATTCTGCAGCTGTTTGTAGCTGTTTACACTCGTAATCGAACTAATCAAATGTATTGACCGAATTGAAAGATATCATGATATTGCACAATTAAAGCACTTGAAATAACAAGTTATCAGTGAGCTTTAATATAGATTAGACTATTAAACGAATGAGCGAAAAAAATATAAGTGTGCAGAAACAGAAGTGAATTAGAATCAGAAAATTAGTAAAATTTGTTATGTAACAATTGTGATAACTTAGGTTGGTGGAAGCCATTCAATAAACTCAAGAGTACTTTGGAATTTGATGAGGCAAAAAAACCAAAATGGATGGAAAGACCTTACGATCAAAAACTTGACTTACTACGATGGTGATAAATTGACTGGATTGATGGCTTAGTTAATTATATGATATACTTACACCTTTCTTAAATTTATCCGTCTCATAATAGCTGCTGGAATCTATTTAAACATACTTTAATTTTATTCAGATTTTAGCTAATAAAAATTATTTTACTATCTTTTACTTACAATATACATGATATCATTCAATATCTTACTACATGAAGAACAGTTTAAACAACATATTTTAATCATAATTGGATTCATTTGAGAGCAACAGTATCAGATATAAGCAGGTCGGAAATGCTTGATAGTCTCTGCAAAAAGGAGTAAAATTAGTATATATTTTTTGCCACCACAGGTACATGAAAATTCAACTCTAAACAATTCTAAGAACTTACATGTACCTGTGGTGGCAAGTATATAAGAAAGATAGAGAGGAAGGTTTCTAATAGATTTTCTAAACGTATTCCTAAGATTCTACGCGTAAAAAGAGTAAGATCTTCACGAGCACCATTTGAATAGTAAAGATGAAATGAATATAACCAATGCATTAAAAATAATCAAAAGACAAAGAACAATTTTACTCCGTTTCCTAGAGGTAATAACTATCAAGCACTTCTGACCTGTGTATACACAACGAAACTGTGACAAGCCTTTCCGTGATAGCGACAGCGTGTTAACCAAATAACCTTTGTCAATTTTTCAATCCCCTTTTCATCGGATTCTTATGTTTTGCATAATCTTGTTAGTGTTCACATATTTATTCTATCTAGTTTATAATCACATTGAATGATTGTGTAATCGCTTACTAATTTGATTGCCATTTAATATATATATATATATATATATATATATATATATATATATATATATATATATATATATATATATATATATATATATATATATGCGATTGTACACCTCTGATAAATTCGTTGAAAAGAAATCCCTTCGCTGAACTTCGTGACTTTTAATTTATTTAAGCTCACGTAACCCTTTTATCTTCATTATGATTACCTGTAGCTATGACGTCATCTACTCTGAATTATTACTTTACAACAATATAAATACCAAACAGTCTCAACTATTTTATATTTGTACATTTTGTTTACTATTCTTCGTGTTATTACGTTTGTCATGATTCCTTTCTTATACTCGTCTGAACTTCATTAACTTAAGTACATTGAAAATTTGTTTATAATCACATTAATATGTGTAATTTTAGGCTGTTTGCAGCTGATGGGACGTCGTGAAATAGAATGAATTCATCTTATTTTGCAAACTTATTTGTTGTTAGAGTGACAAGTTGAACAATGAAATAATTCGTTTCATTTAGTTCTTCATCAAGGTTCCATACTAACATAAATGTTTTATAACTGAGTAGAGACGATACCAATTGGATGGTGGTCAGTTTAAAGAAATAGTAATCACTTAGTTACATAACGTCTGGAAGATCGAAATCAAGGTTAGGACTAAAGTGAATTCTCATGGTCAATTAATTATCACTAACAGTTACATAATTAAAATTGTATGTAAATATGAATGTTTTGTTATCTGTGGAATTAATGATAAGTAATTAGTTGAACGGGTACAGTTAATATGATTAATCATCAGATTACATAAGATTAAAACTAGGAATTTAAGTGTTAAAGAAATCGATGTTCAGGAAATTTTACGAGAATAGAAAGAAAGGTTTTGAAACATGCAATGGTATTTAGGTAGAAAACTAGGGTAGATTCAATGGTTGTATAAACTTTTTCTGTATATAAAGGTTGGGTTTCTAGATGTGTATTCTTATGGCTTCTGCTATACGTAAAAGTTGAATCCTAGAACCATAAGGTTATTTCGGCGAGATTTTATAAATAATTTGAAACGCTGAAATTTTATCTATGTGGTGATCGGTATCGACTAGATGCACCAAAAACCAGATAATTAATTTATTCAGATGATAAATTTTAGATGATAATATTTTTTATTAATGGTTATTCTTATTTTATTTATATAGCCAATCTTTTAGTGGATGTTTGTGCATGTAAAATGCTTGCAAACAGGTATCTGTGCTGTAAGTGAATTGTTATCATTTCTTTTTGTCAATGAATTATTCCCTTGGCAACTAAAATTTTTTTTAAATGTTTTAATTTCATCATTTATTGTTGTGGAATTTTAATGAAATTTATTATAGAGAAAGAAATATTTATTTTAATTCACCACAGAATTACGATTATTTTAAGTAAAGTGTGTGGAACAAAATGTAAGCAACAATACGCCAATTAAGTCCTTTAAAATACCTGAATTGTTATTTAGTGTACACATGTCGACGTTTTAACTCGATTAAATTTTGGTCACCATCTTTATATGAATATTTATAACATATGTAATGACTGTTAAAGCATAAAATTCGGATATCAAAATATGCTTTGTAACATTGAGTTTTGAACAACCTACCAGATAAGAAAGGATATAAATTACAAAAATTACGCCAACATTATTTAGCATATATATACTGATGCTGTGTTCTCTACGCCAAATGGTTTAATCTTGAAACTGTCTTGACAACATCATCAGTACATAATTTAGTTATAAGTGGCTGAATAAGACCTCTCCGCAATCGATTGTTGTGTCTGTTAACCTAGGATTTGGTTTCTTGTTATTCATAACTGTGTGACTGTTGTTTAGATGTGTTTCCGTTGTTTCTACCTATAATGTTGTAGTTGTGTTTCCCTTCATCTTGTTAATTGGTGGATCGAGTCTTTTTTAATATGTCTAATGGTAAGCGCGTAATCAAAGTCCCAAGCTTCTAAAAATCCTTTTGCTTTTTTGTGTGTTTCCTCTGCCTTATATTCTTACATTTCCCAAGTCAAATTGATGTCATAGTTGTTCACATGAACTGATATTGACGAAGTTATGTTGATGCATTTAACAGCTTATTAGCATTAACTTATACTTAAGCAGAACGAACGGCCACTAAGTCCTGTACTGAACACGCTGCTAGTCAGTTGTGGTGAAATTCTAATAAATCACTTTATATTGATGTTTGTATTGATAATATAGTCAGATATCATCAATAACAGTAGCGTATGTAAACTCTTTTATTCATTCAGTTAGGGTCATTTTCATGCATCTATGTGAACTGGTTCTATTTACTTTAAACTTTTTTATCTTTCTTATTAAAAGTTTCTTCCCACTGATAGTACTTTCATGTTATCTGTGATACTGCTGCTTTAAACATTTAATAATGCAACTTCTAATGAAATAATTTTTACGCCAAGCAAAGTTACCATGCATGACACATGAAAAACTCGTAACATTATATCTGTATGTTTCGACGTTGTAAGAAGAAAATAATAATAATAAGAAGAATGAATCAAAGACTTGTATATTTATTTGTATTATATGTTATTGTCCCTTGTTATTATAACGTGGTGAAAAATAAAAACGATAACAAAAAGGATGATTGAGAACGAGAACACGGAAATTCAAAATGCACATGATCGTGTAATAAGAAACTATTATAGCAACCCTCCCTAAAATTAAGTTTGTTTACGCTTAATTTCGTCGAACCCTTTAATTAACTTATTTAACAGACAGTGTTATTCGAACAGTAACAATCTATTTACTTCTTTGTATTATTATTATTACTATTATTATCACTATCATGTCTGTACAAACATGTATGCTTGATCACATGAGACAGCCTACCCACATATCCCTCTCTCTACCTTAAAGGTTGTTTGCTTAAATATCGCTCGATGAATCATTCGCTTTCTCGTATGAATATGTTCTCAAATCTTATTAATGGCATTTGCTTTGTTTCGTCGCACCTTAATTCGACTTGATTATAAATCTGTCTCTGTGTTTGCTTGATTGCATACATTAGTCTGTCTGCTCCAAAGCCACTCGATGTGCTTCTAATTGTGATCTGTGCTATCCAATAATATAATTTAAAGCAATTAGTCCCTTTTATAAATTTCGATAGAACAATGAGTAGACGGAGTTGATCTGATCCAATAATAAACGGCAATCGCCGCTTCGTATTGTCTTCTGAATCCATGCCCCGTTGGTATTAATTTAGTAACGGTTATCAGGGTGATTGATAAACGAAGCTAAACAAATTATCTCGAGGTTAAGCCACTACATTATGGATAGTCATCAAACTGATTTTATTGATAACATTTATGATTTATAGATTAGTATGTAGTGCCCTTTTCTTTTAATTGTGAATATAAAATTACTTTTGATAAAGCAAAATGAATATCATTCTCTTAAAAAAGAGTTAGAAGTGATGAAATCGTTAAAGTGATTTATATTCTCTTTTTTTCGGATACTTTTTATCAGCTTAAACTAGTCAATAGACGCGAATAAAACCAATTCGTAATAACTTGGATCAAATACACACTTCTACATAAACTATAAGTGAACAGCACTTTCAACTACTCATGAGCATTATTTAAAATATCAAATTGTTGTAACCGCGAATTCAGATTTTATTTTTTCATTTTGTATTTTAGATAAAATCTTAAATAAAACCACTGCTTACTCCAAGTATTATTTTTACTCTTATTCCCACAGAGAATAATCATTCATCTATACTGTATACTTTTGTCCAGTTTTTTCTTTATACTCTATTTTTTCATAAATCTTCCATCTTTTATTTTTGTATCCGATATTACAGATGTATTTTAAACACAAGCGTTGATTTGTAAACTGACAGAGATTGTTCCAGTTGTATCTTGATGAAATATAATTTTTGTTGTCTTATACCTTTCCTATTTTATACAACTAAAAACGTAATGCTAACTGGAATATTCCAGTTTTTATTTTAATTATGTTTCCGACTTGTCAATAATTATGTTGATTTCTTGTTTTTTTGTACCACTTATTACCACTTTGTACTTTTTTTAAAATGTTAATTATGTAGAATAAAGCAATCATTGTTTTTTTCCAATTTGAGTAGAGCAAGATAACATTAATTATTATACTTTGAAATTTGTCATCATTTGCTTACAAACTTCTATTGAATCCAAAAAATACCACGAATTATTGCACAGTTTGTTGAAAAAGATCATTCTTAAGCTGTAATCCTAAACTTATTAGATGACAGTCGCACTGTGACGTTCGAATCCGCGTCATCCATTGTTAATTAATGAAAATACTACTAAGTTGTTAAAGTTTTAACTAACCTTACTTGGGATTGAGATATTTACCAATTAGTTAATACTCAGTAATCAAATGGTTATAATATTAGTGATCGTGTTTACCTGAAATGACAAATGTTAACACCGAAGATGTTGCCATGCAATATCAATAATGATTGTTCTCAAAAACAGAAAGACTAGGTCCAGTTATATGTAACCTGAGAAATGGCAAGATTGATTACACAATTTCATTAGATTCGAATTCACTTCCTACTTTACGTAATCCATCAGAGTCAACGTCAGCCATAAATTTATTTTCAGCACTGAAAATGGATTCCATTTTATTTTTGTAATCGGATATATTCATAACAACGACACCTGATCATTTATCAGGTCTAAACATAATAATGTCAGCATTATTTTGCATTTCTTTTAACGACTTGAAGTGCTGAGAAGTTAATATGCTTTTCTACTTTGGTCCATGAGAATGAAACTGGTGTGCTATATCCACTTGTTTAGCTTAACATCAACTTTGACTCTCTAAGGATGTAGGAACTACAGTACTCAGTTGATGAATTAATTAATTGATTCATTAACTAACTAAATATTTATTTCAAGTGTCAGGAATATGACTACAAATAATAAGATGTTACATAATTTCCCCGTTAAGAACATTTGAACCATAAACTCTGGATTTCTTTTTAACAGGCTGAAGAATGTAAATATGTACCTATGTTGCTCTTTTTCTAGTGTACATACCTTGTTGAACACATTAAGCTTGGTAAGTACTATTAGCGATAATATGGTGATATTTTACTGTTTTATCGAACATATCGTCTTGACAGATATATAAGTATTCTTAAAACATATTGATTAGTTTATAGGTATCAATGTCAAGGTTGGACTTGATAGTTTCAAATTAATTGAGCATTGAGTAGGAAGTTAATAGCAAATATATGTTCTGTTATCTCAATGGGTAGATAACCACGTAAATCTAAATCTAACCTTCATGATTAAGATAAGTACTTTGTAGACAATTTAGACAGCTTTAAAGGCAACGACTTTTGTTATTTTCATTTCTTCATAGAAATCAGTTTACAGCACTAAATAAAAAAGGAATATTACTATTGCTTAGATTAGTAATTGACTAAGTTAAAGATTGTAATATCTTTACCTGTCACATCATTAATCTACCTGCGCGAAAATTAGTATCTCTCCGTTTAGTTATTTACAAAATAAGCTAGGGATTAATATTCGAATCAAGCAAGTTTATTTATGATCAATGAAATAATATTTCATTAAACCTCACTGTAGATCGTTCACTGATCAATATTCAGATAAATGGTTGCATGATCAAGTTACATAAAAGCAACCTTGACAATATAGTTGACGTAAACATCACTATTCACAATTCCTATCCAATAAGTAATCATAACAATGTGAAAAAACATTGGACAGTCCAAATGAAAATAAAAATTTACAATATTCTCAAACGTTACTCAGATTATTATTTACTTTACATCTTGGTTGCATATCTCTATATTTTCATAGATGAACATTAGTCACTAATCGATTGATATTCACAAAAGACTGAACTGTAATCACAACCTAGTAAAGCGTAGATTAATTTTTACCATTGTATGATTATGAATGAATGAGATTATAAACTACATTAATCAATTAGATGTAATGATGTTGCATAATCTAGTCAAGATTATCAAATATTTCAAGCATTGCAAATAATAATTTATAATTAGAAGTGTGTTATTTTAACTAAAAGTATTCAAATATTGAATAAAATAGATTTAGATATCAGAAGGGGTTTTGTGGAGATTGTAGTAATCTCAATAATGGAGATCATGAATCAATTGAAGCTAAACCACTATGGAAAACCTGGAAGC